AGTGTCGAGTGCAACACGAACGGCAGCGTGTCATACTGTGGCTGATTAGCGTAGCCAAGTGATATGCTGGCGATTATGAACTAAATGTATATGTGAATTGTATACTGTTATTAACAAAAAATAATAAACCGTAAAATAAATTTTTGAGATGTTATACTGAAATTTTATGTTATTCAATAAGGCCAGAAAAGGAAAATTTATAGATGTGGCATTCATTTCGTGTGTTAAAATTATTTAAATTTTTCTTTTGTCAAAGTCTTTTGATTATGGAAAATTATTGCAATTTCTAGCCATCTCTAGCTCTATCTCTAGCCATAGACATTGGCCAATTATGACCTCTATTGAGATTTAAAGCATTTAATCCTTACATCCTTTTTATAAACACAAGTATTTTCGTGTCCTTAGGAATTTTAATTACTTGAACACACCATTCAATTATAAATAGAAATTTCACAGAAAGAAAAATAAGGTTAGTAATTACAATTTTATTAGAAATATATTTTAGTTGCCTTCAAGTTATTGAATACTTTAAATTTTTTTTTACTATTTCTGACTCAATTTACGGATCTACAGTTTTTGTAGCCATGAAATTCTATGGTCTACATGTCATTAAAGGAAATTTATTTTTAATGGTATGCAACAATCGACTTAATATAAACCACTTTTCCTTTCTACATCACCTTAGATTTGAAGCAAGAGCTTGATATTGACATTTCGTTGATGTTGTATGTGTAGAGTCTATCTGGCATTCTAAATGTCATCCTCAAGGTAATTTCTTCCGTTATTACCAACAGCCAACTTTTGCGATCCCCGCAACAGGTACATTCCCTCCCCGGGTGACGAGTTTACTTGGGGAAGCTGTTGCGACTTCCTTTCGTCCTAAGTAAGTGCCCCGCTGGGACGGCGAGATGACGGGGGAGCGAAGCTCTCCTAACTCACACCGCCCCAGTACCTCTTCCCACTAAGAGCGGGGAGGGGACCGATATCAGGAAGGGCTCCTGTTTGGACCTCGGTGTCGCGCGCGAGAGACGGAGGCCCTGCACCCCGTCCGCACGCGCCCCGGAAGTCCCCCTTGAAAAAGACAAGCTCTCTTCCTTTCTCTCTCTGCGGCCTTCTTCTGCTCCATAACACCGGAACAGAAGGAGATCACAGCCTTTCACTCTTCCTCATCCCTGGAGGCAAGAGCCTTTATAAGACTCTTCTGGGAGAGGTCCTGCCCTATCTCGGCGGCCAACTCTCGACGCTCACCGGACTACTTTGGACATTCTTCCACAGTGTGGCCCGTCGAGTCTTTGGCCGCTTTGCACTCATGGCACTGGGTCGTCGGCTCTTTACCTATCCAACACAGGTACTCACCAAAGCACCCATGCCCGGTGAGCATCTGCGTTACACGGTAGGTGGGGCGCTTGACCTCCTTTTCCAACCACACTTGAAGGTGGGGTCGGACATCCCGGATAACTTTTTGAGCTTCCGCTCGCGGGACATTCAGAGACTCCTTCCACCGTTGGAGGAGCTGTTGCCGGGCCTGACGCTTCGACTCGGCAAGGGCCTCCCCGAGGACATCGCCCTTCATGTCCTCCTTAAGCAGCTCGACTCGGAGAGAGTACCTTGCCGAGTAATCCCGAGCTAAGAGGGCAAGGGGAGAAACCCCCGCCAGCACGCCCGCCGTCTCTGTGGCCACGTCTCTGAAGCCGCGCGCAACGCGAAGGGCCATCTATCTCTGGGCCGCGCGAAGCAGATTAAATTTACTCCACTGCGGCCTCAGCCCACAGTGGTGATCCATAAAGGGCCATCGCGTGGACCACATTTACGGACAGACGGCGAATTTTTTCCTGTGGGCTTCTCAAGTTGGGGAGGAGTCCTGCCAAGAAGTTAGCAATTCTTCCTACTTTTGGGGCCTAAACAAGCGAAGTGCTCGTCGAAGCGCCATTTTGGGTCGAGGTGTAAACCAAAGTACTTGAAAGTTGTACCCTCCTCGACCCGTGCCTCACCTACCTGCAGGCTGAGTCTCGGCAGCCGCCCGCCACGGGAATGACTATAGTAACTTAATTGAACCTAACTTAACTTAACCTACCCTAACGTAATACATTGTACAACTGTTATAATTACCAATTATATTATTCTTTTTCTAGGCTCTAGCGGATTTTCTTTATGGAGCGATCATCATAAGCTTGTTCAAACTACCTGGAAAAAACAAAAGCAAACAATTTAGATTCTAAAAATATACCGTAAAAAATCATTCTTTATATATGAGTCTGTTGGTCGACTTGGAGATAATCCTTTAGAGATGTGCAAAGAATTGAGTTCTACATATGTATATTTATTGAAAATAGCAGTAAAATATTTAACCGTAGTGGGATCATCTGTTTTTTCTGAAAGGCTTTGTTACGTCCCAGGGGCTGGATTACGGTTCTGCGGCCGTTTACACCTGCCAAACGTACGTCCTCCCTTTTTGGTCAACCCTGAGGCTTTACCGGGGCGTAGGATGAAGATATGACCGGGAGCTGGGGTAAGATTTTCTGTTCCGGATTAAATAGAAGGGCCGTCAATTATGTATACCGTGTGGTCCTGGAGCGTAGAAAAATCGTCAGTGTGTTCCGCGATGAAATGTAGGCAAAGTGGCACTTCTTGCACTCTTCTACCGCTCGATATATCGTTAAATTTTGCGAGCATCTGGCGCACAACACATCCGTGGGCTGAGTTCCAATCGAGATACTGTGGCTTATCACGGCCTCGGGTATCAGGACGTTGTCCGTCTCGTGGGTACACCACGTACAGTAGATCTTGTTGTCCAACAAGTTAAGATAAGCCAGTACCACCGGCATCGGCCAAGGTTGTACTTCTGCCAAAAATCAAACGCCTCCGTCAACTTGATATACTTGCCGGGTTCACCGGGCGGTGCCGACCGTCCGATGCACATAGGTGGGCCTATGTGTGCTGCATGTGTGACGCTGGTTACTGTTTTTTGCACGGGACTTTTGTTGACGGAGCCCGACTAAATCGATGCTTGTGAGAGGATGACTGTGAGTGAGGTACACCACCTTGCGTCGCTTTTCCATGTACACCCGGAACCGTGGATCCGTCGGGAGGACCGTAGCCGGGTAAACAATTTTACCGCGAGTAATTGGGATCAACATCCACGAGGGTCGAATAATCAAAATCCGCCCCGTGAACCTCTCGTTACTAATAATTCGCGGGACCCGATTAACGGCGCGTTCCACTGTACTTGTTGTGTGAAAATATGCGGCGCGTCCTTCCATATCAGTCACGCGGGTAATGTCAAGCACCGCGAGGTCAAAAGATTTGGTGCGCGCGTAGGCTCTTTGAAGGGCCCTCAGTTGGTGCTCCCTGCCTCCACGTCGGGTCCGCCGCCTTTGTCACGGAGACGGGGCCTCTGGCTGACGGCAAACCTAGGAATAAATACGACGAATAAGCGTACAATCTTTATTGCACCGTTCTTACTGTAGTACCCAGGATCAGGACGTGACGAGTGTGCATTTGTGTGCACCTTCCTCATACTTAGGAATGACAGAAAATGACGAGTGTGCACTCGTGTGCACCTTCCTCGTCAACGGAACGACAGGAAGTGACGAGTGTGCACTCGTGTGCGTCGCTCCGGCCGTTTATATAGCGTCCTAAATACGCTGACGCTGCACGCATAGATGCCAGATCGGAGACTCAGTAAGCATGCAACAGCAAGTGGAGAGGATACGCACACGGCTGTCGCCTGTGTGCGTATCCCCTCCACTTGCTGTTGCATGCTTACTGAGTCTCCAATCTGGCATTTATGGCTGCACGGTTTCACGGGTCCAGCGGTCACTAGCTCCTGGTCAACGGTCTCGCGGCCGCCAACGGTTCGCTGTCTAACGCGTCCCTTATCTCGGCGCGTGCCTTATCTCAACTTCGGGCCGTTTGCCCGGCCAAGCCAGTGACACTGGCCCTTCACAAGCAAACTTTGCATTGGGAACACTTCGCGCACGAATAGTACAGAATATTTTACAACGTTTTGCCTAAATTACCTAAATATTTATTAAAAGGTTAATTGTACATTTAAGACTACTGAACCAATTTATAAAGCAGTAATAATGCTAATTGTTTAACTATTATACAGGACAATAGATATATATGCGGTTACAATAATAAAGCAGAATGTAATTATTATGGCAAAATTATCGAAACGTAAATTCTAGAAACAATTATAATAATGTAACATTTATTAATAACAACACGCGGTAATAATAATTAACTCATAACATAAATAACCATACTACCAGCAGTAGCCACCACCGGGGCGTTGAAAAGTTCCCGAAAAGTCCCGGAATTTATCCAGATAATTTTTGACGTATATAAACATTTTGTTTATTAACACATGCTGTGTAACGACACATAGTCGATATTGTAAATGTAGGATATCTCGAGAACTAAGACAGCTAGGGCAAACCTAATTTTACAGAGGCCCTTTATTTACTGGTTTGTATATTATGGCGATGAGTGAAAATACACAATTTAAATATCTCGCGAACCAGACGAATTATCAAAAAACGGTTTTGTGATCCTTCATTCTATTACTTAGCAAACTACCACTAAATAAAAAGTTAATACTTTTAATTATTTAAACAACCGATTGTTAATAACAAATTCTGGGGACCTGAAACCACACTGGTATTTTGCAGTTTTTTACGCTGCAAACGATGGTGCAAACCGATTTTTTGTATCTCTTTTAGTTTCTGAAATCTTAATTTTGCAACTTACGGGTTGCCGCCTGGTTCTGATCTGAGTTACTAAACTGATGACTAACGGTAACAGAAACATGATGATAACTCATGCGGGGTGATATATTACTTGGAAACTTGGTTTTTGGAAGTTGTTAATTTACCGACCGTGGCAAGCGTTTAAGTATGGTACACTCACGAAGTAAGAGTAAGGAGATCGAACTTCATAGCGCGCGAATGGAGAAAGTGGTCCCGATTCTGACGCCTAATTGGGAGGGAATCCGCTCAAAGAAATAGTTTCTTACGGTTGGACGCCATTTGCAAAACTACCACATGTACACGTTAGTATATGTAAATGCATCTGTCACGCTGCACACCGCGCACTGTGCGATCTCTTGTGACATATTCGCAGCAGAAAGATGAACTATAAAATGACGTAAACTTTTAAATAATTGAAGGATATATAAAGTATTTATATATTTAGGACAGTAAGTAAATATAACATAATTGATATATAAATAATACATACAACCTGAAAATTTTTATTAAATAATAACCAAAAAAATTTATAAGAACATTTTCTTTAGTAATACAAACAAAACAAATTTAAATATTATGATAATTATAAATATATTCCCAGCAAACACAAAGTAACAGTAACGTAACATTAATATTATAATTTCCCACTCAACGATGTAACTGCAATGTAACATCCCTTGTACGTAACAGTTACATTGTTGAGTGGGAAATTATAACATTAATGTTATGTAACTGTTACTATGTGTTTACTGGGTTAGTACCAGGTTTTATTGCCAACTTCTTTGCATGGATGAACATAAGATATCTTTTTGAGAAGACTTTGAATCTGATGTATGCTGTCCACTTTTCCACTGAGACAATCAATTTCTTTTTCTCCAATGAAAACCTGCAATATACATACATTTTAATATCTATTTTTAATACAGCAAGTGTACATCTTTCAACATAACAAAACAAATAAAATAATCCTCTACTAATCTCACTAATACCTACTTAACGCATACTCACTGTCCTAGGTGTAAAAAGACTTCTTTTTCTGGAAACATGTTTCCCTCCTTTGGTCTCGCATCCACGTATCCAGCATGCCATGATTTGTAAAGAAACAAAACTGACAGATAAAGTTAGGTTACGTTACTAATTGCAAATGGCGTCCAACCGTAAGAAACTATTCCCTTGAGCGGATTCCCTCCCAATTAGGCGTCAGAATCGGGACTACTTTTATATCACGGAGTTCGATCTCCTTACTCTTACTTCGTGGGTACACTGATGGTAGTGGTAGAATTACCAACTCTGGTATTTGAAAGGAACGGTAGGTATTAGGAGAACTCGTTACCGGCATGAGGTACCTCTTAACGTTGTGTCTTACGGCTTATTTTACTGTACTCGCATCTATTCGAAGTTTACATGGTATGGTCAAGAAGCGCAAAACCTAAAGGCGGTGTTTTTAAGGAAGACTCTTTTGACCAATCAGAACACCTTTTGATTTCTAACCGGGTTTTTAAAGTGATTTTTGAACGAGACTTACCGGGTGATATTTACACGGGTTTCAGGAGCTAAAAGAAGTGATAAAGCTACTGACCAATCAAATCGTTTCTCGATTTTTTAACCATTTTCCTAAACGTACTTTCGAGAAAGATTTAGTGGACCTTACTTGCAAGCGTTTAGAGAATCTAAAAATTGCATCAAAATTATTGACCAATCAAACGCGTTTTACTAAACTGATTAACCAGTGAAACTTTTTTTTCTTCTTGCAATGGTTTAAAACATAAATTTCAAGAGAAGGCTAACTTGGCGTAGTTGCTACGTGCTGTGTCAATTAGTACGACAAGTTTTTGCACTTCAGCCAATCAGGTTGTTTGTCACCAGGCAATCAGCCAACTATATGGTTTTACTAATTGTGACCAATTTCCTGAACGAATTGTGAAGGAGGCAACAGTTGTTGCGACGTGTAGGCGTCTAAAGACTTAGAATTGACAAAAACCTGTTTTGACCAATCTGATGATGTTACGGGTTTTTAACCAACTTCTCGGCCAATTTGTAGAAAAAGAATTACGGGAAGTAACTTACAAGGACTTGACAAGTCGGAATCCACGATAAAATCATTGACCAATCAGATTGGTTGTTACTAGGAAAACGACCAATCAGATTTTGTCAAAGTTTACAACAGGTAAATTTTACTTGTAAGCTAACAAAACGTGTAGTATTCGTTAAAAGCAGTTATATGAACATAATAAATGCAAAACAACAGTGAAAGCGACACTTGCAAAATTGGTAGGTACAAAAACGCGACTCGGAGTAGTAAATTCTTAAGTTTAAGTGATGACACAGTGGTTTGGACCGTAGTTTAACGTCTTTAAGGACGCTTGACAATGGGAGATACTACTGACAATACATGATAATAAAATAAGATAAAAAGAGAAAAAAGAGAAATAAAAGAAAAAGGTAAATTAAGTCAACCAAGGCTCACCATGTCTACGGACGTGACACTTTATCCCAGCTCCCGGTCATATCTTCACCATCCGGCCCGGTAACGCCTGAAGGGTGACCAAAAAGGGAGGGCGTACGTCCGGCAAGTGTAGACGGCCGCAAGACCGTGACCCGGCTTCTGGAACATAAAATATTAAGTAGATTCTGGCTTCTCACGCGTCAGTCCTATACTTAAAACAAGAGAGGTGCGTCACGAGCGCACGCTTGTCGTCTTCTTCCATTCCGTAGACAAGAATGGTGCTCACGAGAGCTCGCTTGTCGTTTCCTTTTGTTCTGTAGACAAGAAAAGTGCCCACGAGTGCACACTTGTTATTTCCTTTCATTCTGTCGACAAAAAAGGTGCTCACGAGTGCACGCTTGTCGTTTTCTTTTGTTCCGTAAACAAGAAAGGTGCTTACAAGTGCACGCTTGTCACCTTCTTTCAAGATATCAGAGTGATAGAGGTGCGACTTGATTGCATGCTTATTCTGTGTATCTGTTCCTAACAGACATACCATCCAGTTACTCCAGCCCGCCAGAGAAAACGTCGCACGCGTCGGAAAAGCAGAAACTATCGGTTGAGAAATTTATTAAGGAATTACGCGCGTGATGGACAATTCGACTCGTTATACTTAGAGAGAATCAACACCCGGTCGACAAACACGGCAGGCCGCGACGTGAACAGACTTCCGCGTTCAACAAATACAGGAGAACATTTTGCTAGATCCTTT